GTTTAGGGTTTAGGGTTACGGTAGGTTAAGGTAAGGTCGACGATAAGGGCTTAGGGTCTAGGGTCCAGAATTCAAGGTGTAAAGTACTGTGGACCCCCTGACCCCGAAACCCTAAGGTAATCTGGACCCCCTGAGAACCCATGATCCTCATCCGTAAGCCCCTTTACGTGGAGCGCTTGATGCTAACATTAAGTTGGTATGTTAGAGGTCTTTGGTGCGTAGATCTCGGCTCCCGAGGTTTCCCTTTGGTGAGTAAAAGATAGTGCCACCACACATTAACCCACAGGATCCCAAGTACTGTTATGGGAGATTCATCCCCAAATCATAATAGTAATTCCGGATCCTAATACAGAACCAAAACATGCTACTATATAGGTACAGAGGCCCCTTTGGGTAATTTATTTCATACTGACATCGCAATTGCTTCGTTGATTTCGATGATCAAGTACTGACTACTTCCTCGTTTATGTCCTGGACACCCTAACTTGACTGTGGATGCAAAGCTTCGCAAGAGCCCTGCCAAAGAGCTTCCCCTGAAAAAACCCAAGCATCCTCATATCTCAACAGAACTTAAACCCGAGACACTTTGAAACCCTAAACCCCGAACCCTAAACCCCAGATGTTGAGGCCTTGTTTCTTCAGGCTCCAAACTCCAGAGTTTCAGTGAACCTTCAGGCTTTAGGCTTTAGAGTTTACGGTTTAGGGTCAGGACATCATGCTGTCCGGCCGCAACGTTGGATCCGCAGCAAGTAGTACCATTGCCGAAGTTGGCACCTGCCCAGTGGCCACCTTCGAAATGGATTGCTCCAGCTTGGTGTGTTGTCGAAGGTATGTTGACGTTTGCAGCATGGTGCTCAAAAGCTGGGATGTGTTGTTTTTGGTTGCTTCTCCGGTGAAATCCTGCACCCTGGCCCCAAATCAATCGTTCGGCCTAGCTTAGCTGCGGTTGTGGTGGGTTGCACAGCTAATTTGCCAAAATCCGCCACGCCTAAGCCCTCGATTCCTAAACCCAAAGCAAACAACCGTGCACTCTGGTTCTAAACCCGGAAACAAGGCGAAAACCCAATTCCCTAAATCTGTAAATGAGGCCCCTCAGATCCCATGCATCCAAAACCTATAACCCAAACCCTGCCACCTCGACTGCAATGGTTCCGCGTCTGGAAAAACCGACATTAGAAAAGCTACAGCGCAGGGACTCCCATCGCTGGCTATTCTTAACTCAAGGTTTAGGGTTTACCTTAGCCTACACCCTAAACCCAAAACCCAAAACCCTAAACCCAAACCTAGTTTTTTGTAGGTTCTTATTATGAACCCTAGTATGGAATTTATAGGGACCCTAGGTTCTGGTCGGTTAAGGTGGGGGTGAAAACCAGGGATTGCCGAACCGAGGGGTTCTGCTTCTGGGGTTCGGCGGTTGAAGATGTGCGTGTAATGTAGGGACCTGAATAATTAGAATCGGGTTTTGGGCTCCACTGTAGTGTAGTTATAATAAGGGACCCCGGAAAAGAGTATTGGTACTTATTAAGCTTCTATATTAGGCTGAGAAATTGCTGATTGACATTCTCCCCAATCTTACTCATGCACACGTGCCTCTTCTGACCATAAAAAGGGCCTGAAAATACTCCTAAGCTTTGGTCCCAAACTCCATAAACCCTAATTATTAATTAGAGCTACAATAAACCGTAAAATCCTAAATCCAGGCCCTGGAACCCTTAACCCAGCAACGACACCGGAAATATACTCTGGAATTCCTAATCATGAGTGACTGATATCCTCTCATATAGTCTCTGTATACCTTTAGTCTACGCCCCAACAACCCCCTTCTGCTCTTTGCAGGCTGCTACAGAAACCAATGCAGAAGCCTGAACAAGAAAATGCAATATACTATTCCTTAGGGGCCCCCTAGCCCCTAACAGCTGAGGTTTAAATTCGAAAATTATATACCCGAAAACCCTCCTTTACACATTGACATCCCCTGTTCTGACCAGGCACGGGTGCCACCCCAGAAATAGATGGGGGTCAAGCACAGAGTGTGGGGCTGCCACACTGCCTTGGTCCGGTGCAGGGAGTGAGGATGGAAGGGTTTAGGGTTTAGGGTGATTCGAGGGTTGTGCGGGCGCAGCTTTCAGGATTCGCCAGCGGCGGGGGGATAGACTTTCCGGTCCAGTAAAACAAGGTCTTCGAATAGGGTTGAAGGGCTCAAAGTTTTCTCTTGAACGATTGCCGGGACTGTTCCCTTGGCTGTGAAGGTCCCACGTTAGTATGTACCTTAACCGACCACAACCTACTTTTTTATAGGGTCCCTATAATTTCCATCTTAAGTTTATAATAAGAAGCTACCGGCAACATAGCTGATCTTGGTAGGTTAAGGCAGGTTGGAGGTTGGGTTGGTAGCCGGGGCCGCGCAAGGTTTCAGGGAACTTCAGGGTCTTTGGCTTCGAGGACCTAGAGCAGATTCAGAGTTCTTCAAGTTTAGGGTTTAGGGTTCCAGGGATTTAGGGTTTAGGGTTGTAGGGTTTAGGGTTTTAGGTTTTAGGGTTCAGGGTTTTAGGGTTTAGGGTTCAGGGATTTCGGGTTTAGGGATTAGGGATTTCGGGTTTAGGGTTTTAGGGATTTCGGGTTCAGGGTTTTAGGGTTTAGGGCTTTAGGGTTTAGGGCTTAAGGGTTTTAGGGTCTAGGGTTTAGGATTTTAGGGTTTAGGGTTTAGGGTTCAGGGTTTTAGGGTTTGGGGTTTAGGGTTTAGGGTTTAGGTGTTCCAGCATCTTCAGGCTCCGAAAGCCCCCCAGTCGGTACCTTAGGGTTTGGGGTTTAGGGTTTAGGGTTTGAGGTTTGAGGCTTCGGGTTTGGGGTTAAAGGTTTTAGGGTTTTGGGGATCCTTTTTCCTGGAGCACGTTCATCGATGTGGGGGTTTCCGAAAATAGGGGACCCTAATATAGTACCCTAAATAGTAGGACCCTCATTATAAGGACCCCAAAATAAGGTACCCCTGTTTGCGGTAACTCCCATGTGGTGTTTCCTGGAGCTCGAATCCAAAACCGTACACTTTCAAACATCCATCTAGCCGACGACTCCGGCCAAAGCAATTAGTGCAGGGGCCTAAGCAATGACTAATACCATTCTGGGGGTTCCTTACTATTAGTTATAGTAGAATGGGCCCCAAAACCCGATTCTAATTATTAAGGCCCCTAAGCCCCAAAACCCTTGTAGTATCCCTCTTAAGGAACCCTTTAAAGGAACCCTATTCCAAATAGAAAGGCCCCTATATTAAGGACCCGAGCTCTGAAAGCTGTATGCTCTCCATGCATTCCCGTTATGTCAGCGAGTGCCCCTACCCTTACCCCAAACCTTAAAAACAACACGGAGTAGGAACCTCCACCTTAAACCCTAGACCCTAAACCCGAAACCCTAAACCCTAAACCCTACACCCTAAACACGAAACCCTGAAGCTCAAGACCCTAGACCCTAAAACCCTCGACCTGAAGCTCTGAACCCTGACCCTAAACCTCTAAACCCTAGACCCTAAACCTCTAAAACCCAAGCTCTAAACCTAAACCCTAAACCTCTGAACCTCTAAACCTTGAGCTCTAAACCCTAGACCCCTGAACCTCCAAACCCAAAGCTCTTAACCCTTGGCTGCCGCTCTGACACTTTATCGCCGAAGCCGATGGCATACTCGCCCACCTCTGATAAATCGGAAGCCGTGAGCGTCAGAAACGAAGTGACCCTCGTTTTGCTAGGATGTATCTTCATGCGGGCCTTAACAACCTTGTTCATCAGAAGATCGTTTTGTTACATGGTACAATTCCTACCATCGTCTATCGGAGCTATGCAGGGACGCTTCTTCGGAAGCCGTTGGAGCAAGCTTGAGGGTGGCCCGTTGCATCATGTTCAGTGCTGTCGAATGGTTCGCAACTCCTCCAACCGCGATGCTTCCGAGAACATAGTTAGTGGACGTATCTAAACCCATGGTAACACTAAAATGTTGAAGCCCTTTACCCTACGCCCTCGTAGGGGTACGCCCTAAACCCTAAACCCTAAACCCTCTAAAGTTACCAGGGAGCCGGATTGAAGTCGTACGGGTACTTTAAACCCTAACTAAACCGTCAAAAACTGCCAGAGCGCTGGGTTGAAGTCGTAGGGGTAGTCCTCTCCAGCAAGGCCCTTCTCAGCCCCATAGCCATCCTGGTCCAGCCTCCAGCGCGGGGAGGCACGAAAAGGCTGAGGCTTTAGGGTTTCATGTAGGGGCCCTAATAATTAGAATAGGGTTTTGGGGGCTCCTTTTTGTAATTCTAGTATAATAGACCCCAAACCCTGTTCTAATTATTGAGGTCCGTATATTAGGGTGATTTAGGTTTAGGGCAGGGTTTGATCCGACCCTACCAACCCCCCAAAATCGGTCCGAAGTACCTACACAGCTACTAGGGACTTAAGGGTTTAGGGTTTAGGTTTAGGGTTTAGGGTTGAGGGTTTTGGGGTTCACAACTACTAGGGACTTTAGACTTTGAGCATGAAGGCGAGCAACGCTCCATGCCCCAACGAAGCTCAACTTTCAGGCTGTGTTGCCAACAGGGAAATGGGTAGTTCTCTAAATTAGGATCCTTTTTAGGGTCCGTTTTATACAGGTGCCGTACTATATTGGGGAACTAAAAGGGGACCCTAATTTAGAGAACTACCCAAATCGAGAAAACCACACTCTCAGGAGCCACACCAACATTCCTAGACCCTCAGCCCACCAATGTGAAACTTTAGCATTATAAAAAACAGCTACAACTACAGAAAAGTAGACCTTTAACCCCTCAATCCTCAATTTGAGAATCTAAAAACAAGCCCCCATCAAAACTCTCAGTCGGCAACACTGGATCCGACCGCGTTACTCTAGGAGCCTGATTGACTGGCAACGGGGTTTTGGGTAAAACTCTACGATGAGACACTCTTCGAATATGGTTCCTTTAAAGGGCTTCTCTAAGGGTTCTATGATGTTCATAATCATCACAAGGAGCCCCAAAAAGGTGTTGGTAATGATTCAGGCCGCTCTTGCACCCTAAGGATGACGGCACCCGACATGGGGGGTTTCCGAAAAGAGGGGACCCTAATATATAGTAGGATCTTCATTCTAAGGACCCCCAAATATGGTACCCCTTGTCGGAAAAACCCCTAAACCCCAAAACTCTAAACCCTAAAACCCGAAACCCCTAAACCCTAAACCCTAAAACCCTAAACCCTAAAACCCTAAACCCTACACCCATCACTGCCGCAAAGCAGCCACCAGATACCTTGAAGACCTGGCAACACTTCGCGACACTTACGGCTCTCCTAGGGTTTAGGGTTTAGGGTTTCGGGTGTAGGGTTTAGGGCTTAGGGTTTAGGGGTTAGATAGGGGTTTCGGGGTTTAGGGTTTGGGGACTAATACCTGAGCCTTTAAAAAAGAGCTCAAATGAACGTCGACGAGACCGTCAAGAACCCTCCACAAACCAGATCAAGCCACTGAAGAACCATATGTACCCGCAACACTCGACCCAGGTATGCTTCGGGGGTGCTGTGCGAGACAACCTTAAGGCAGGAGCCGAGGAGGAGTCTGCAACGTCTCATATTACAGGGCAGGGGTACCCCCCAAGCAAACATGCACCTGAAATGGTGTATGCCCTGGCCTTACAATGATTCCTGTGGCGCTTTGCTTTCTGCCGGTCAATATTGTGTATAGGTGGTTCCAAACTTAGGATGTCGGAATTTAGACTTCGCTTTGAGGATATTGTGGGGGTTATGCTTCGGTTTGTAGGTCTTGTTTTATAGATGTTGTAGGCTTCAGGTTTAGGATATTGGGTGTTTGGGAGTTGGGTTGAGGGAGGGGTCTGGAACAAGACGTGCGATGCTCAGGTACAAAGCCCTATACTAAAGGCACAAAATCCGGAAACAAAACAAAAACTGTCTGCGACATACTGCATGGGAGGCTCGCGACCAGGAACCCATTAAAAATGCACAAGGAATTCAAGGAATTCATGAAGGGACCCGTAAACGAACCCTTTCTGAGGGACGACAGCCCACCTAATCCCTCCCAGTCGAGGCACTCTTGGGAACGCTGCTACCGGTGCCGGCGTACTCCAACTTGCTGGGCACCTCGGAGCATTGGGGCTTGAGGGCATTTAGGGCTCAAAACTGAAAGTTTTGAAGTAGGCTGAAAAGGATAAGTTTATGGTGTAGTGTGTTGGATTCTGAGTGTAAATTTGAGGGTTACGGGTTCGGGTTTTGGAGGCTCATGCTTAGTTCACGGCTCAGGCTAACACGCGCAGGTGAACATGTCCGACGGTGCCGAGTGACACAGCTATATCCCTTTGAATGCAGGTTCAAGAAAAATACACTACGCTCCTCCAGGTTGTCCGGCAGAATGGGCATCCAAAAATGCTTAGTTCAGGGCTCAGGATTTTGGGGTCTGGAACTCAGGGGCTGAGTATCCTAGCCCCAAAAAGGTTAACCTTTTGAATTATGGTAGGNNACCCTAAACCCTGAACCCTAAAGGTTACCTACGTACTCAGCCACTAAGGGAATGAGGGGGCTTTTCAAGGGTTAGGCCTAAGCCTGAGAGGCAGCACCTTTTTTGGATCCATGCCTTGGTGGTTTGGGTTCCACAGCTGAGGTGCTACCCCTAACACGAACACGGAAACTTGCCTCAACCCTAACAAAGCCTGACGCTGAAAGTGCCAAAAAAACCCAAACCCTAA